CCTTGCGTGGCTAATGAATCAGCCAATGCATTAGCCTCCCTCCCTACTCATTGTATACTTAGACTCATCTGCCGTGTTAACCACTGGAACTTCTTCATTTCATTTCTATAACACCAAATCACCGAGTCCGGATCTCTTAGCCAACCTACGACCACCTTGGAGTCCCCTTCAATCACCAGGTTCTCCAAGTTCATCTCTTTTGCAATCTGAACACCTTGTAAAACTGCAAACAGTTCAGCCTTTAAAGAGTCTCCAATCTCCACCGGTCCTGAATAAAGTGCTCATCCAAGAGTTAAGCATGGTTACCACTCGGATTTTAAGATTACTCAAAGAAGAGGCTTTATTATCAAAAATTCATTTATTTCTTTCTTCCAGAATTCCCCACATGACTGCATGAGTTATAGTTCTCCAAAAGTGTCTGTCTCACTGATTAATGAACTCACCAACACAATTTGGAGGGTCCCAGCTGTAATTGCCCTCATAAATCAAGTCCAAGAAGTATTGCCACAAACTTCTAGCCACATGGCAATTGATGAACAGGTGGCCAATGAACTCCCCAGTACTTAGACACATAAAGCAAAACATATGGAGAGAGGAAAAGTCTCCCTTTTTTTCTGGAGAATGTCATAAGTATTCAGCCTTCTTGGTGGTAAAGGTGTCATTTAGGGTTAGAGACTAGGATTAGTTTGTCCAGAAAGGAATTCGAAATAAAGACCTGCGAGAGCTAGGAGATGAGGGAGGAAGCTTTGTCAATCTCTGAGTCTTTTAGGGCTCTTCTAAAGTTGAAATTATAGGACAGGTTATGGTTATCACGAAAAACTATGGTAGAGACTAGGACTTGTTTGTCTTGAACTAACCTGTAGAGAGAAGGAAAGGCTTCACCCACAGATCAGTCAAGAACCCTGATTTGGTAACCAGTACCTAGGTTGAACCCTAGGAAGGGAGAAAAGGAGTCCAAGGTTTGAAGAATACCTTTCCAGGTGTTTGCTGCTGAGAAATCAGGTAAGGGCTCGTTGCTGCCCCCTCCAAAGCTTTGCCGGTCATATTTGTTTGAGATAGCTGAGGCCCACATAGAGTTCTGCTCCTTGAACCTCCAAAGCCACTTCCCGAGGAGAGCTTGATTCCCTTCATCTAAGTGCACCAGCCCAAGACCTCCTTTCTCCTTAGGATTACAAACAATTCTCCAACTCACCTAGTGATCCCTCTTCTCTCCTCCCCCATCCCACAAAATAAATTCCATTGCAATTTTTCCAATTTATTCCATTACAATTTTTATTGGTTATCAAAACTCTCTTAAGTTCTGCCTGGCATATTTTGTTAGGTAACCTCAAGATGATGAGGGCTTTATAACCTGTTTCCAGCTTGCTTAGAGCCCATTTCAGTCACCTAATAAGCTGCTGTTTGGGTGGGTAATGTGTCATATATATTTAGTTTTTTTAGGTTTTTTTTTTTAAGATTCCAACAAAATTCTTTAGGAGTTTGTGACTTCATAAGCCATATTCTACCAATTATGATTTCTTGACCATTATCAGTCATGACAAGTAACAAGCTTATAAATGCACACCAACCACATGGAGTCTTCAGTCTTCGCTAGATGGTGAGCCTCAGGAAATCTTTTTATCAGTAAAGAGTGAACATTGCTAGCTAAGACAGAAAGAAGAATGACCATATTGCCTAAAACAATAGCAAAACAGAAAAAGGACCTCAAGAATCAAATTAAAAGAGAAACAACATATTAAAAACCCATTCCCACGGTTTTTTTTTTTTTTTGAGAAAGAAGTTACTGAATTTATTAAAAGTAAGATTACATGAGATAATGTACAACTAGAGCACAGACAGCTTAGGAAAACATATGCAGATTTTTCCAGTTGATCACAGCTAGAGAATTTAGTTCCCTAGGAACCCAATTAAGGTTGACATGCAAGRAACCCAAGATGTCTCTGGCCTCTGTCAGATAGTGGGCTAACCTCCAAGGACCTCCATCCTTCTCTCCTAACCATTTTATTGTGTTTGCAGAGTTCTGTCTTTTGCAATTCAGAGACCTGTGAGGACAGATAGAATTTCAGCCTTTGTTGAGTGAGAGGTCCCTATCAGACCACTATAACCCCACCAAATTCTGACATCCCTCCTCTTGAACACACCACCAACCCCTGCTGAACCGGGGTTACCGTTACCCATGGCACTACCATCAAAATTTACTTTCATCTCCAACACTTCTGGAACAGCTTCTGCTAATACTTAGCGGCCTGGGAGATGAATGCAGGATCTCTAAGAAGTTCCTTTGAAGATCACCCATCAAGATGCCTTTGAACTCAGAGGAATTTAACACCCATTGATTACACAAGTAGATTAGGTAAGAGAGCAAATCTTCAAAGGATTTAGCTTTATCTTCAAAATTACAATTATTTCTTTTAATCCACACTCCCCACATAAGAGCTTGAGCTACTGAGAAGTGAGAACCAGTAAGTTTTTCCCCTTCTTCCAAGACCTCTTCCTTGCCATTGCCAAGAAACTCCTCAATATGTTCAGGAAAAGCCCATCTGTAACCAGAAAATTTGAGGAAGTGGTGCCAAATCTTTCTTGTTTCAGAACCAATCCCAAGGAATATTATCCACCAAAATAGATAAGTTCTCCCTACCCAAAGAATCTGTGCTAGATAATTAGATGATCTTGGTGTCCACCTGAAAGATATGTTCACTCTAGATGCCAAAGATCTAGCTTCTCTAATGAAATGCAGAAATCATTGCCACCATGGACCATAGTAGAGCTGCATCAACTAATCAATAATAAGAGCAGAAATCTCAGCTCTAGGAAGTCTGCTAATGAAAAAAGATTGTTCAACCGGCTGGTACAAGGTTTGGTAATTCAGCTGCAGTGGGTAAAGAGAAATGCCAACTCCTTTGTGGATACTCTTGCTAAGCAAGGGGTGGGAAAGGAACAAATGTTCTGGCTATGTTGTAATCTTGTTTTTTGTTTTTTTCCTAGGGGAGGGTTAAGAGAGTTTACCTCTCCCCTGATTTCCTTGTACTCCTTTTTTCTTAATGAAAATTTTCTGTTACTGATTCAAAAAAAAAAAAAAA